GACCACAGTCGATTCATCCAACAAATTGATGTCCGTGTCAACCATAGTCGCCTCGCCATCTAGGTCTTCAACAACGGCGGTAAGCTCTGCGTCAAAGGCGCTCTCATCAACTGTATCGTCGACCTTCGTGGCATCATCATCTTCTTCAGCAATACCAGTCCCAACGTCGTCGTCTTCGTTGGCTGCTTCTTCCAAGGCGCTAGGAACATCTTCATCTAGGTCTTGAGCTTGAGCATCGTCCTGGTCGTCATGCTTGCTTTCAGCAGGTGAGTCAGGCCAAGCGGTGGCATCCGCGTTGTCATCTTCTCCAACCATGCCCGGTTCATCATCCAGTATCTCTGGCTCGGCCATTTCGCTTTGTGCCTGAGATGCGAAGTAATAGCTCACCTCGTCAAGTCCCTTGCCATTGTAAGCATCGTCGACGAGAGATAGCCACCTCTTCTTGCAGTTTGGCCGTGTGACTAGCAAGGCATACAACGGCTTTGAAGCATCGGCATCCTGGTTCTTGACCAGAGAATCAAACACGGAAATGACTTGACCCAGGGTAATATCAGAGATCAAATCTGGCTGGGTAGACTTCGAATCTGTTAGTAACGTCCCAGCAAATCTCCCAGTATGACAACTTACTTCGGCAAACTCAAGTCCCAACTCGTCAATTTGGAACACCAGTTCGTCGAAGGGACCCAGTTCGTTAGCAAGCTCACGACGGAAACCTGCAAGCACGCCTTCCATCTTGCAATGCAAAAGGGACAGATCGTCAAAGAAGCACTCCTTGCCTTCGCTGTCCGGCGAGTTGTAAAAGAAGGGATATTCAACGCCCTTGTAGGAAACAGTTACAGCGGGGATCTCAGTGTCGTCATTCGAAGGTGCGTCATCGGAGTCCGGTGACTGGACGTTCGCAAGCAGCTCATCTTCATAATCCATGCGATCATGGATGGAAGTGTCTTCGCCAGTCGCCGTGTACTCTTCTGCATCATTTGCCTGGCCATTAAGGTCTTGGTTGTGGGCGTCATCTTCCTCTTCTTCTTCGACGGCAACAACACTATCTTCTGCTTCATGCGGAGAGAACGATCCGTCATTTTCATCAACGGCACGATCCGTATCTTCGCGGTCGGAATGGGTGTTTCTAACGTCTTCCTGGTCGAGAACGTTGCTTTCCGGTGGCATCTCGGCGGCTGTGTCCATAGATGCATCCACAGCGGCGTTGCTGTCGTCGAAGTAGTCTATCTCGTGCAAATCACCATCCGCGTCGGCGCCTTGAAGGTCAGAAATCTGCTCTTGCAAAAGTGGCTCGGCATCTGCTCCACTAAGTCCTTGGGCGTTATCATGAACGTTCTCAGCATTGCCAGTGGACTCATGAGCATCTTCTTCATCTCCTTGTGGCTTCTCTTCAGTGTCCGCTATGCCTTTGGGCAGGTCCGATTCTTCCTCGGCCAAGTGTATTTCATCGTCAACAAGCTGCCAGTCGCTTTTCTCGGCGTCAAGGTGGGCAGCGCTTGCGTCTCCAGCTTGGTCGTCGTTGCCATCTTCCCAGCTGATTTCGTTATCGTTAAATGACAAGTCTTCAATATCCTGAGGCGCTTGGTTGGCCATGGTGGCACTCTCGGAGTTGCTTGCTTCAAGCAAATCTTGGCCACTGCCATCCGGCAGGGCATCGCTGGCCACTGTAGTAATTTCAACTGCCTGCAAATCGATAGATTGGTCATCTACTTGTACGGATTCTGCTGCCTCCTCGTAGTTCTCAGTGACAAGATGGGCGTTGGCCGAGAATGAGGTGCGGTTGGAGTTCTGGGCTGCAACGGCAGGGGCCGCTGCGTCATCTTCGGAATAATCGATGTACTCCTCATGACCTTGAGCTTCGAAGCTCGGCGGCGGCACTGCTTCTGCCGCCATGTCCTGAGGTTGGTAGGGATAACAATTCACTTGGAAACTTTTAACGTGGTAAATAAGTTGAGGGTTCTCGAGAGGAATCAGGAACGGATTTGGCGCGCCGGTGGTGGTCGGTAATGTTGGGGGTTCGTGGCTCGGATACCCGGTCAAGCTTGGGGAACTCCAGCAGGGTAACTGGGAGAGGCGCGTCGGCTGGAAGTGTGCCGAAGATTGAGAAGGTGAGGTTGTTTGAGTAGAAGTTCGAAAATGTCTTTGTGAGGCCAACTATTTGGTCATGCCCTTGGACAGAGGGATGGAATGAACAACGAGTGGTTGGTGGATGGCAAGTGAGGCCAAGCAGGATGACAAAGTGGAGTCCAACTGAGGCGCGTGGAAATTTAAAAATGGCCTGGGCGACACCCCTCTACGTTCCTTAAGCGCAGCTCGACGCGCCTGTAGCTGGAGCTTGAGCCTTCCCCTTTTAGGACTAGACCGGGCCGCTGTACGTAAGGCCAGCCTGGTCCGTGCACTGGCCAGATTCACACATTCGGACCTCAATATTCAAGCTCCCTACGTCGATGTGGTCCCGTCCCTCCTTAGGCCTGGGACCTTGAGTTGAAGTTGCGACAACCTATCTACATCACCAATTCGTCCAACCAACAGTCACAACACTCCACCCAAAATGGTGCTTGGTTTTCCCCATCCAAGTTGTTCAATCCTTCTCGATACTGACTGTCCTAGGTTGTCCTTGCGGCGTCGATCTGCACCCGAGGCGGGAAAGCTGTCCTCTCCCGCCAGTTCAGGGAGATGCCACGATCCCGCATCGAAGCCCTCCTCGCGTCCTTCCCCAAGCTGGCCGACAGCGGTACCCAGCACACCACCGTTGAGCAGGACAATGTGCGCTTTGTCTACCAGCCGCTCGACGAGCTCTACATGGTCCTCATCACCAACCGACAATCGAACATCCTCCAGGACATCGACTCCCTCCACCTGTTCGCGCAGGTTGTCACCAGCACATGCAAGAGCCTCGACGAGAGGGAGATTGTCAAGAATGCCTACGAACTCCTCAGCGCCTTTGACGAGCTGGTGACCCTTGGTTACCGGGAGAACCTGACCATCAGCCAGATCAAGACCTTCCTTGAGATGGAGTCTCACGAGGAGCGGATCCAGGAGATCATTGCGAGAGTCAGTCAGCTCAGCTGCCGAAATGACCAGAAGATAGCTAACAAATCCTGCAGAACAAAGAGCTCGAGGCTACCGAGGAGCGCAAGCGCAAGGCCAAGCAACTGGAGATGCAGCGCAAGGAGTCGGCTCGCGCAGGCCGCGTCGGCGGCGGAATGCCCAGAACCCCTGTATACCCGACCTACACTCCCCCCACTCGCCCGACCACGACGGACACATACGATTCGTACGAGGCCGAGAAGAACAAGACCTTCAACAAGTGAGTATCCGAGCTGCAGGATCGGGTAGTGGCAGACAGTAGCTGACGTTGGCAGGCTGAGTGCCCCCAAGGGCAAGGGTATGCAGTTGGGCAAGAAGTCCAAGACGACCGACATGTTCGAGCGTGTTCGTGGCGAAATGGGCGCCGAAGTCGACGACACGCCCCTTATCACTCCGGCGCCCGCCCACGCCTCGGAGCCAGCAGCCGAAGCTCGTGTCTCATCAACTTTGGATCGTGACGCGATTCACATCGTCGTCAACGAAGCCATCAGCGCCAAGCTGTCACGAGAGGGTGCTCTGAACTCTCTGGCAATTAGCGGTGACCTTAACCTCCGCATCTCCGACCCAAGCCTGACGAAGGTCAAGTTGAACTTGACGGCAAACCCTTCCCACGGTGCCCAGTTCCGTACGCATCCCAACGTCGACAAGAACCTGTTCAACAGCTCCAAGGTTATTCAGATGAGCAACACGGCTCGTGGTTTCCCCACCAACCAGTCGGTGGGTGTTCTTCGCTGGAGAGCAACGGCCAAGGCGGACGATACCAGCGCTTGCCCAATCACTTTCACTGTCTGGATCAACAAGGATGCAGACAAGTACAACATGACAGTGGAGTACGAGTTGACAGGCGGCGACACGCTCAAGGACGTCAGCGTCATCATCCCGTACCAGGCCAGCGAGCCTGTGGTGTCGAGCTTCGACGCTTCATACGAGGTTTCCGGCGACTCTCTGGAATGGAACATCGGCACTGTGTCAGAAGATAACCCAAGCGGATCGTTCGAGTTCGAGGCTGAGACAAACGACGAGAATGACTTTTTCCCCATGACGGTCAGGTTCTCGAAGACGACGCCCTTCGTGGATGTTGATGTAAGTGATCGTATTCTGACGGTGGGAGAGCCAGCAGCTAACGAATAAAATAGGTCCTTGGTGTGTCTTTGCTCGAGGAGGATGAGGAAGTGACCTTCTCTAAGGATATCAAGTCTCACGCGGACAATTTCTTGATCGAGTAAAAGGGGCAGGCTACTCTGGACAGGTATGCAGTGGTCAGGGGTTCTAAAAGTTGAGCGCCAAACCAGGAGTTTCCGAGCAGCGGTTTGACTTGTTAGACAATATTTGCCATAATACGTGGCTGCATGATATGAAACGTACTTAGAATACAGGATGTGAAGCTCCTGAGAGAATAAGCTGTCTGATGCTATGCTTTTCTTGATACCAATGTCTTGCAATAACCAGATAGGTTGTCAGTATCCTTTGAGGGTTGCTGTGCAAACGTGGTTGAGCTGCAATCAAACGATCACGGTGCAGCTGCCTGACTCTGAGATACAGCGTCTGGGGCCCCCGCCATTTTAGGGAGCCGCAGCTAGGTACAGACCCTCCCACCTTCCAGTGCCTTAGGTACGGTACCTAACGTAGGTACCTACTAGATATTCCTACCCAAGCTGCTCACAGCTGCAGCTGCGTAAAACGAACCTCAGAAAAGAGGCAAGCGACATGCAACAATTGATTAATCTGGCTGTTTAGAGTCCGCACAAAGTGTTGACCAAACATCAACCCAGCAACTTACGGAGATCAAAATTCGATTGTGCATCTCACCCTCTTGTCATTTGACCACAGAACCTTCTTGCAGGGCCCAGACATGGTAATGTCTGCTGGCTGCTCTTTGACTTTATCACGAACAGCTTCGTGTTTGCGCCATGGCTGAAACAATGCAGCTTCGGCCCTTCAGCGAGACCAGGTTTGACCACCGCGTCATCGATGGCTTCCCTCCCAGTAATCCGACGGTGGACCTATCGGTCAGCTGGGACCCGTCCGGGAAGAATCTTCTCATATATCGGCCCAAGGACCAGGTCGTCTCCAAGATACACCAGTTCGCAAAGCCCGGCGAGACAGCACCAGAGCCCCAGGCAGTGAGATGGAAGCCTGATGGTGAGTTGACTTTTGAACGAGACACATTCGAATAATTCTAACGACAAGGCAGGTCAATTTTTGGCGGTAGGCTGGAGTGACGGTTATGTGAGACTAATGGGTCTTGAGAACAACAAAGCTGCCCACCACATTCGCGTTGGCGGTGATTCGGACTCTGCTACTACGATCACTCACATCGGCTGGTCACGCAACGTTGTCGGAAAGCAACGAGCTCAACGCCAACTAGCCGACGCGCAACCATGGAAGAAACTCATGTCTGAGGAGCTGAACCTGCCGGGGAAGCAAGACCCGTCAGACCTGCCTCGAGAACTAACCTTTCTGGAAGTCGATTTGGCTCTACCCAAGATCAGTCCTCTTCCCACATCTAGCGCTGGATCTGGGTGCGTCCGCTCGCTTTGCTTGTTGCAAACATACTGACCCTGATATAGGGAGGACAGCCTCGTTTTCACGCTACGGACGGGTGTCGAGTTTTTGTTCCAGCCCTTCAACGTCGACGACAGCGATCAGGTTTTCGTGATGGTCGTTGGAACCAGTGATGGCCGTCTTCACCTTAGCATATACGACTCGTTTATCATCGGCGACTTCCGGTATACTCTTCCGAGTTCCATGTACAAGCCGGGCGTGCTGCAGCTCATCCAGCACGCCTCTCATCCAGAGATCTCTACACACTCGCTTATCCTAAAGTCTTCTGTAGATGGCGATCCGGCAGTCTATCTGGTCCCAATGGACTTGCCATTCGTTCCTTCGTCTCCCATCAACATCTCTCTCTTGGCGTCCAAACTAACAACACTGCAAAAGCTGCTGCGGTACGTAAAGCAAGCGCAGCTACACATGCAGGTTGAGTACAAGAATACGCGAGAGCTCCCCACGAGGTTCCTGCGCAGTGTTGAGGGTGATTTAGAGCAGGCCACGCATGGGCCGACGAACATCGTCCAGGCACTGTTCCATACAGTTGTCACCGGTCATGCGTACGAGCCTGTTCGAGAATGGCTCGTCGACAGTCTTGCCGAGCGCGTAAGTACTTCACATTGTGCATAGGGCCGCGTTGCTGACACATTCCAGGGCCATAAACGATGGGACAAAGCCGTAACCTCTGGGCTAGAAAACCTCCGGTGTCTTCTGCACGAGAATCTCCTGCCCGTACTTGAGAGATGTGCCATCATACTCAGCCGCCTTCGAGGACTGGCCCAGTTCTATGATACCCGCGATGACATTGGCTTTTCAGTCGCCCAAATCAACCGGGCCATGGATATTGTATCCTGTCTCAACATGGTCGGCCACAAGATCCTCCTCAACGTCATGGATGAGCTTGATCTCTTCAATGCCTTCTCTTCGTGGATGCGCTTCCAGATTGACCGTCTCGCCGCGTCGAGCTCTTTCAGCGACGACCTGACAGAGAAGGAAGCAACCATGGAAAACAGCAAAGTTCTCGCATACATACAACGTTACTTGATGGAAAGCCCCATGGCTGTCTTTCTCGACGAAGTGACCAAAGAGGACTACGCGAGCAACTGGGAACGTGCCGAAAGCGGAGCTTCAATGCTTGATGAACTTACTACGCAACTTGCTCGTCAGGAAGAGGGTCATGCATACCTCAAAGCCTTTCCGAATGTCAGCTTCCTCGTCGACTGTCTGACCTCGCGTTCCAATGGAATATTCGGCGATATTGCCGAGGCACAGAAAAGGAGCGTTCGCTTCGGACAACCAACCAAGGTCGTGCTGGGCAGCAAGGTCGCCAAGTTGGACTCTGTGATGTACCCAACGAAGACAGAGGTAAAATTGGCGAAGAAGAAACAGCCTCTAAGGACTGGCGACTAACTTTCCATAGGATGGCGTCGATGGACTATCCTTCCTGGCTACTATGGCAGAGGGTCGGGATCAAGAGTGTGAGTTTGCGTTCCTGCAACATTATGTCCATGTAGTTTTTCTGATTTGCAAGCAGTTTACATCTTCCGCACATCTATCCGAATCATCAACGGCATCAGCAGCAACGTCGACACGACCGTTTCAGCAGTCTCAATAGAAGAGGGCAAGATCGTCGACCTCAAGTTCCTGAACGGCAACACCCTTATTCTGCTTGTCAGCAAACAAGGCAATCAATCCAGCATCATCACCATCCCCATGCAATCACAGGCTCTCAGCTACACACACTATGAGGAGAGTAACCTCCCCAGTCCTACGCAGCTTTCTAGCCTCATGGGACAATGTACCGCAACAGCTCTTCCTGAGGACTCATCGTTCGCGCCGGTGCAAATGGATGTCCAAGACGTCACGTCAGCGCGGGGCGAAATGCCTATCCGCATTTGCCTCCTCGGTTCAAACCGCTCTACGTACAAGGTCTTTGCACTTGAACTCAAGTCTAGTCCTGGTGTGGTCCAGACGGAGGCCCCCCAGCCGGTGACTCCGCGACGAGGTGGTTAGAAGACGCCCGTTACGTTGTCTCCGGGAAACATGTTCAAGGTAGCGCCAAAGAGGTTCACGCCACGGAGCAAAAAGCGCATGGGTATTCTGGCATCTCGTTTGGAGTCTTCAACGCTGGACGAGTTGGCAAACATGGAATAGATTATGCACTCGAATCGATCTCAGGTAGAGCGCTCGAGACCATAGAACGAGGAAATGGAAGAGAAAAGCATGTTGATATTGGTTTGAAAAAAAGACGTATTATACAGCATGGCCATCCCCCCCCCCCTCTCTCTCCATCCGTACCGCTTTTTGGCTCGCTCACTTCCTCGACTTGGTGATCTCGAAAAACTCAGTGACACCCTGTACCACAGCCTCCACATTCATGTTCACGAGCGGCATGCGGTCGTAGGAATCCTCCTTCATGATGGCGACGAGGGCCAGGTACCGATCGACCTCGCGCAGCATGATGGGGCGCTGGGAGTCGTGGAGCACCATGCAGCTCTCGGCCCAGTTGCACGCGACCTGGTCCTCGACTTTGGCGTTCCACGGTTCCGCCTCGAGACGTTTGCGCTGGCCCTCGGAGCGCGGCCAGGAGCCGTACACCTCGGTGATGTCGATGATGACGTCAATGTAGTCGGAGCAGATCTCGTAGCTGGCCATGTCGGCCGTTGCCGAGTCCGTGGCGATGTAGATCTTGGACAGCACGTCGAACAGGTACGCCTTTTCGAAGCGGCACGTGCGGCACAAGTTGGTGAGCATGGCCTCCAGGGTGCCGAGCTGCGGGATGAGCTTCTGGATGACCTTGGAGAAGGCCTCAAAGATGGAGTGGTTGTAGATGGACGTCAGGTGGAAGGTGACGGGGGCGTTCTCGAAGCCGTGGTCCGAGAGCTCGTCCTGGATGCGGATGGTGATGTCCCGCTGGATGTCCAGCTTGTAGTCGTCCGACAGACCGTCGACCTTGTGGATGAAGACCTCGATGTTGATGTTTGGGTAGAAGCGCTGGAGGTTGAGGACGGTGGCGTTGAGGCGGGCGACGGCCTCGAGGTAGTCGTCCTGGGCGTCGATGACCCAGATGAGGGCGCCAATCTCGCCAAAGATGGCGTCCATGTCAAAGTTTGGGTTCTCGAAAAAGTCGATCTGACCAGGAAAGTCCCAGACCTGATAGTCCATGAAGGATCTGAGGCTGTTAGTGGGAGGGGCAAGCTGAAGGCGAGGAGGGAGGGAGCGGTTTATTACGCCATAGAGTCCTTTTGGATACGCGCTGTGGATTCGAGGAAAAGCGTTTCGTTTGGTGGGAGCTTGTGGAAGACGACGCTCGATATTGACGACTTGCCACTCCTGTTACCAGTCAACGCGATGCCCGTATGCTGCGGTCGAATGGGAGTAGACTCACCTTCTCTGGCCCATCAGGAGAAGCCTGGGCTTCCCCTTTCCCGGAGGCCCCGGAGGTCCTTCTAGCGGCTTGTTCGCATCTTTCGCCTGTGCTCCTTGAAGACTCTGATCGTAGACACGTTGGAGCGTTAGCCTTGCTGGACTGAGACTACCACTTGTTCGGGGATGCTCTCGTTGGGAAGAGAAGCCCATGCCGTCGACCGCTTGGGACAGCAATGAAGCAACGGAATCGGGCGATGTAGACGAAGCCATCCTGAACGACACGCGCCGCGTCCTTTGCTATGCGATGTCGCCGATTCACACACTTCTGGGTGAAGGGGCTTCTTTCTAGTATCGCTCAATATTCCTTCCACGTCCTCGATCGCTGTTTGCCAGTGTCTCGGGAAGTTTGATGCCACAGACCGGCAAAGCCCATATGTTTGCACGGGTTCCTGGCGGAAAGACCAACCGGGAGCCCAACGACGGTCCGTGGCGGGACAAGTGATCAGACTACCACCGAACGACGACGCCGAGCAATCCTCAAGGTCATCGCATTCATCCGTCGTCCTTCAAGGCAGGGTAGCCCCCTCGAATACGACCACCCTGACGGATGCGCGCAGCTGAAAGGAAACCACACGGCGAGGCTTGGGCATCTTCGTAAAGCGAGGAAAAAGAAAGATGAGCCATCTGCATTCGAGAGATGCTCGCCTGCTCAAACCAAGCGCAAGCCCCCCTCTCGAGTTCCAACCCAGCCATGGACTCGAAGCGCTGTGCGTGCTGATCTCACCGTCGCACAACGCCACTTCATCCATGACACCATGGCTCAGCCAACCCGCTTCATCTGGCGAGGCCAGGTAGACGATCGGGGGGGTTAAGTACACGAGCGGGGGAAAAGGTACCGTTGGACAACAGGATCCCAGACCGTTTTCGACTGTTATCCATTCATGACTTGAGAGGAAGATGTCCTCCTAATACGCAAACCAGGACGCATTGTAGCGCAACACGTCCCCCGCTGAAAGCCTTGTGAAGTTGAGAGAAGCCGGCTTCAACCATGGACATCCAAACCGAGCAAAATTACAGAAAGTAAGACTCTACAAGCAGCTCGCCTAGCCGAACAGGGGAGAGGAGGGGGATGCGAGGAAAGATGCAGCAGCAGACGTGACGATAGACGGTAAACATTAAGAAATACGACCGATTCTCACCTCCATTTTTTTTCCTTGTCTGAGCCTCACTCTGCGGCTGAAAGGGGGTGTCAAATACGCCGCTGAGAAAAAGCTCCCCCAAGCTGACCACTTCAAACCACAGCAGCAGCAGCGACAACCGCACCGACGCCCAGCAATCAGGCCCCGTAACCGATCGAACGAGACTGACGGTCACTGATGCCCAAGTCGTTACGAGAAGACCAAAACAAAACGTTAACGTCCAAATAGATCCGTTTCAATGCGAAAATGACAATTTCCGTCGCAGTCGAGTTGCCAAAGGACCGGCGCACACCAGCCTATCACGGGGTTCGAATGTAGGCAGGTCACTAAGGTAAGGTAATCCGCAGATGTGGAGCGGGTAAGGTGAACGACGGGGTGAAGCAATTGGCAGTTGAGCACGAGGTGGGAAGGATGACGATGCAGCGTGCTTCCGATAAGATAACGGTGCAGTTCGCGGGTACTGCAGACGGGACCCATTTAATTTAGGCGAGACCACATCCTGGCTACTTCATCTGACTACCTACGACCTGCCACACAAACCACCAACCAGCACTTTCATCCTATCACCAGCGTTAGTGCTTGCCTATCCTCTGTCACATTGTCACTACATTTTAATGTTTCTGATTTGGCCAATATCGTCGTGCAATCATTCAGCCAGCCCATCATGGAAATATGACAGAACCAGTGGAAAATCGGTCACTTTGATCAGACCAAAATATCCAAATGCTTGTGTAGCAATCAATGAATTGAGACTCTACACCTGCTCCTACTCATGCTTCCAAGTATTAGACAATACAGATACCATTACAGAATAAGCGCCCCTAGACTATGACCGAAGGCCGCCCCAGGCAGGCTGGTATGCAAAACTCCCTCTCCCAGTTTTTACGATGCAGTGCTCCGTTGTTTCCGACCTTACAATCTAAACCACTGCCTTGATTCCGACAATGAGTGCAGCACAAAGGAAATTATAGTTGAAGAACGTTTTGAGTCCGTCTAAGAAACGGTCGGCATCGGAGAGGGAGTGTTCCTACCACGCGAGAACAGCGAGGTCACGAAGCTGCTCTTACGTTTCGCCGTCTTGGACTTCTTGGCAGGGGCAAGGCTGCTGGTGTTGGTAGGAGCCTTCTCAACCTCCTTGATGGGCGCATCCTTCTCATCGGTGGTTGTAGTAGTCGTGGTGGTAGCGTTCTGGACATGTTGCTCAGGAATAGCAGGAATAGGGGGCGCATCGGTTGCGCTATGAGGAGGAGTGAGCTCATTAGGAGGGGGCATCACCGAATCTCTTCGTGGTGCGACCGACTCTCTCCTAAAGTCAAAGATGGATCCCTTCCTAGGGCCGGCAATGGAGCCATGACGAAGAGCAGAGACAGACTGCATCAAGTTAGTTATCCGTTCTCTTTGTTTGTGGATCTCTGATGTCTTACCTTAGCACTGATGCTCTTACGGTTGCGTGCACGGCGCTCAGCAATGGTTTCCTCCTCCTCGCCGGTCATCTCGGCAATATGGGCAGCCACGGTCTTGCTGTTGACAGCCATGTTCTCTGCAGGAACCTCGATAAACTTGACGAATCCGCGGACGGGCGAAACACCAATGGCTTCTTGCAAGTGCTTCTGGAGCAGGGCGGCATTCCTCTTGTTCTTAGTGACGCCAACCTCACACGACAGAGCATGGACTGTCATCGTGTAGGCAGGGTCAAAAGTTCCGCCAAACAACATACAAGCACCATGTTGCAGGTTCACCACGATGGACGACACTGGCCGCTGATACCTAACAGAGAGCTGGTACGAAAAGTCAGTGATGAAACTGAATTCATCACTAATCTGGGAGGGAGTCAGTCACGGAAGGTCAGACATCGGCAAGTCGAAACACATACGATGACGTTGGTGCGGAGTTCAGCCATGACAATAGCTTCGCTGTAAGCACGATCCTTGAGGACGTTGATGTCTCTATCACCCTGGAAAGCCTCCTCATAGTAGGAGCTGCGGCGTCGAGCCAGGTCGGTTTGGTTCTTAGACTTCCTGTTGTTTCGAACGTCGCCGGGCAAGGAGTGGTTGACGTCTCGGGTTCCCTCGCCGGCCTCGACAATAGGGGTCGGCGCGGTAGATGGCCGGCGACTCATTCTCCTCTCGGCAAAAGACATTCCGGCGCCAGCTGCGATGGAAACACGCTTGTTGTTGTTGTCGGGAGTAACTGGCGTGGAGTTGACCTTTTCGTTGATGCTGCCGGTCGTGGTGGATTCTTGCGGGGAAGAAGGCGGAGACAGAGCCATTTTCAGGGACGATTGGGAGAGCTGGGATAAAAGGCGGCTGCAGGTGTGTGTGCTTGGAGCTCGTGGGGGATGTATCAGACGTGGTCGTTTGGGAGCGGCGTCTTACTAGCAGCGGCCGTGTTAGTCTCAACCCAACACCCAAAAGCCTATCTAGCTTGACACGTACCGAAAGAGGCGCCGGCCGAGATATCGTTCAAGCGATACTAACAACCGCGTTGGTCATCAACTAGGGCCCCCTGGGACTTGGCGCAATATCTTCAGCTGTCAAGCTGCAGGAGATAGGTCGTGCACTGGCGAATGGCAGAAATCGTCGTACTCGCGGTGGCAAGGTCCGGAAGAAGACGTTGCGATGAGGAAGGCGCAAGTCGTTGGATGCGAAGAAGCCGCCACTGAAGCAACCGAGTGCCGATCGTATGGTCTCTTGATGCACAAGACGTGGACGGCGGTGGGTATTGTTTGGTGGTGATGAGTTGCGAGGGTTCAGCGGGAAACAAACAACTGGACGAACGAACAAAAAAGCTGGTGTGACGGTACGGTGACTGAAGGAGACTATTATATCAGGACGAGGACAAGAGATGCGAGGGCTGGAGCTAGCTGGGATAGTGCACCACCGCAAAGAGCTACGACGGCCGCGAGTCGTTGGGACGGAATCGATGCAAGAGGCGGATAGCCACTCAGAACCGCGAGATGATGGTCGAAAACGGAAACAGCCAAGGCTCGATGCACGCACCTAGGCAGGTCTTTCTTCCCACGCTCGACGAGCCCGGTTTCAATGCAAGACAAGACAGGTCGATCAAGTTGAACGGAAGGAGGAAAGAGGGAGAAGGAAAGCGGTTTGGGCTGGACTGGACAGGACCGGACGGGCTTACCTCACCTGCCTCATCTTTGGTTTTGGTACTGGTCCCTGGGTTTGCCTCTGCCTCGTGTCCTTGGACGACCAAGGCAGAGTCTCAACTCTCAATCCACGCCGTGCGCTAACGAGCCAAATCATTCTTTGATCTCCTCACTAGGCAACTATGTTAAGGAAGGATAGGGCATCGCTCCCGCGGGGGGAAGTCCCTCAGGTTGATGGATCCAACGGGATCTGGAGGCATCGCCGTGTTACCTAACTCCCTGCGCCTGGACTGTTCTGTGCTTGTTGCCAGGGCTCCTCTGTTGATTGCGACTGTGAGGTTCCCTCGAGGTGTGTGTGTGTGTGGCACGCGGTAGCAACCGAGCCCATACGCATCATCACATTACGCCTTCACCGTCCTTCGCCTTGGAGACGGGAGTTCCTGAGGCTGTTTCCGCAGTGTCCAGATGTATGCGGCCGAAGCTCTGCGACAAGATAGATTTTCTGAGATTCCGCAGGACTGGAGCGATGCCGCCTCCACATCCAAAGTGGCATGGGTGGCATTGGAGACATTGTCGAGGGCAGTCCAGCACGCTAGTATGTGACTAGGCATCGGGACGACAGGGTCCAGGACCATCGTGTCGCCTTGGAATGCATGGCGGGAACCCCATTTGAGCTACTTCTCTTTGTCGTCGGTCGGGCATCAGGTAGAATGGAAGAATAGGAGAGTCATGGAGGGTCAACGGCACGCCGCAGACCAGCTACTCGGCCAGCCGCATGATGGACGGGCGTGGCACACAGGCGACGCAGCTGGCATGCCCGGCAAGCATTGTTTGCTGTTTTCGCGTGGTTTGCAGTGAGATATGCCGTATATTAGAAACAGGGCAAACCTTGGACCCTTTGCTCCGTCTGCCTGTCTCTTCAATTCTGGGACCATGTTTGGCATAGGCGCCGTAGCAAGCGCATAGGTAGTTAGACACAGGCCACAGGCCACAGGCTTTACAAGCCAAACCGTCGAGCGCCTCTCTCGTCTGATTGCGCCCTCAGCGTGGTCAGGAATGCAGCGGCGGGTCCAGAAGCGGACAAGCTAATATACTGGGGACGCGGACGCGCGGGTTCAGCGGGAGACCCAACATGTCGTGGTCTGTGACGGAATGCACATGTTTCCGGTCACTTTACGGTTGCCCGCCCATCACCCGCTGATCGACCGCCCTGCTTACCATCCTACCACCCAAGATGCCTACTGCGTATCCGCAGGATCCCTACAGTATCATCCTGTCAAAGGCAGGTAAGTTTTCACACGGTGCGTAGGTAGTGATTATCATCCTCCAAACGTTTCCAAGAGACAGCCACAGTCACGGCCCTCACCTGTTGTTGCTGTTGCCGGGGCCATGTGTGTGGTGCCCTGTGGAGTGGAGCTGTACCTGTGAGCTCGGAGAATAGCGCGGGAAGAGAGGCCCAAGCGGCGTTCGTCTCGTCTACCTTACCTTACCTTCTGAGCACGCTTGCAATTGATCCAATCATTCCACGGCAGATCCTCTGTGGCCCGGCAGCGTCCAACTCCCGTAGCGAGCCTCCAGGTAGTCCAGCCTGGGCTGGGTAGTTAGCCTGTGTAGCTGGCGCTCGCGTGAGTGCGCCAGGTCCGTGTTCCCTTCTGGGTGGCTTGCGCGGGCGTTCCACTGAAATTTGACGAGACGAGAAGTGTCCTAGGTGAGTGAGTGAGCTCACTGAGCTGCACAATTGCCCATACCATACCTTAAGGTACCTTACCTGAGGTGCCGACTGCATAGTAGGTACCTATCTGAAGAACCTTAGATAAGGTAGGGCAATTGCAGGGGTCTCCTGAGTGCTCTAGACGACTCGTATTTTGCAGTAGTCTTCAAACCAAGGCCGTCGTAGCTCCCGGCATACAAGAGATGAACTACTACGCCCTACCTACCTTAGGTCAAAATTCCCCCAAGAAAAGCGTCTTATCAGACTTCCACCCTGCATTGGTCCCCTACCTTACCTGCTTCAAGCTGCGTCTCCGAACGACCTTAACCTGACCAACCGCCATGTCGGACCCTAGGTACGAGAAGCTAGACCAGCCTTGCCAGCGTACCTGATGGCCGGGACGACGGCATCTCCTGCTAGACCCCCACACCGCATCCTCTACCCGCAAACGGCCAGTATCTCAATTGATGCTTCCCAAGCTCTCAGCTGCACTTGCGTAGGTGGAGGCTCCTTTCGCCACTTTTGATACCCTCAGTGGTTGCGAGCTCAGTCTTCTCCCTCCCAATGCTGCCGCATGCGGCCATAGACTGTGAGTTCGTGAATCAGATTACGAGTCTGTCGGATAATCAGGAGGGTGGGGAAAGATCGGATTCCTGGATCGATGGGGATTCTGGATCGAAAACGTAATCCATTGGACAGTCTCACTGGTCCTGTTGACAACAGCAAAATATTAACCCGTGAAAGAGACACTTCTTGGTACAAATGTGACGCAGCTGACTTCTGCATCTCCCTGGTCTTGCGTTGACCTGAACGCCCACTCCATGACCGCACATCGTCCGTTTCCGGCGCGCCTACCGTCACTCGCACCCTGACATCGTACCCGACCCTGTGGCAAAGGCAACCCCGTCGTCTCGACGGCTCCGCTCCGGACATCCTAGTGAGCCTCTCCCTCAATATCTCTGGCGGTGACTGACGAAGGAACGGGGCTGCCGGACTTGCGGCGTCCTTGAACTACACCGCTGGCCCTGCTGATGTTCCTCTCGAGTACCATCTGATACGCCCCAGCTCCCAGAGTAATGGCTTCGATTGGGATCAGGAGGATGGACATGTACAGTCCGGCCTTGCTCTGCTTGCAAAGAGTGCCAAAGTGAGGCCGCGTCACCATCACCACGTCAGACCATCGGCAGCTCCAGCTCTGGAGCGTGTCCACAGTTGTCGAGGCGTTGATGCTGTAGAAGACCGACATGGCGACCACTGCAGCCACAAGTCCGACTGCTGGAGCGGCGACGCTTAGTGAGTTGTGGATGAGGGCTCGCCCACGCAGCTATTCACGTTTGGCATTAGTCCGAGTCGACCTGCCGCAATGCCTTGCCATGATGTATCAACTTACAGACTGGACCCGGCTGAAAAGCAGCGAAACAATGTTGGCAACAATGACAATGGAGCTGCCAACCACAAGAGCCACCGTGGGCCTCAGGTCAAAGGCATCCGGCCAGAGCGGGAGCAGGTAGCTGGCGGGTACGTGGGTCGCATCATAGACTGCAAGAGCATCTGCTGATACGCCGAGGATGGTGATGCCTGCAAGCAGAGCCACAGCCGTCAAGCTGACTCTTGCCGCGTCTATGGTCCCAAGGAAACGGGCTTGCGATGCGTATTGAGTGTCTTCGGGATCAACCTCGAAGCCTGAAGTTTGGGTGATGTTCTTTTCTTCGGAAGACATGGCGGAAGAGAAGGAGACGTGAGAAAAAAAAATTACGATAGGAAGAAAAGATGACTAAACGTAGAGATCGACCGTTACAACAGAAACGAAACGTAGGAAACGAGAAAGGGAAAGGAGGCAGTGCTTTGGGTTTGCCATCTCGAAACTTGGGAAGGGGGACTTGGATGCGTACAAATACAACAGACAAGTATCAGATAGGCGCCTTGAGCCGTGTGTGGACGCGGCACGCAATCTTGCCAGCCTCCGGGGAAGGGAGATGCGATCCAAAATTATCATGACGAGCGTCGCGCCGATGCAAGATAGCCGCGCTTGCGACGTGTTGAGGTGTGAAGTTGGAGATAGTTGGGAACCCTGTAAGAGCGGTCCGGCGTGGGATTGGTCAGATGCCCGCAGATGCTGGTCCCTATTTTGGTCATCCCAGGCGCTTAGAAGCGGGAAGGCCTGTGATGAGGCCAATGGCAGCATGCGAACACCCTGAAATAAATCCAGGCATGAAGCCTATTCGCCGACTTGAATAGAGTCACAATCGAGGTTACTTCGGCACAGGGGTATTGCTCTGAGGGCCTGCTCAGTTGCCGCCGTCAAGGTGATCCAGAGAATAAGCTCACGTCAAGCGGGAAGGGCGGAGACAGACTTTGAACGCAGTGGAACGAAACAAAAGTTCAATCCGACGTCTGGCTGAGTCATCCTTGTCACCCAATGATGCACGTGACTGGGCAACACCACGCTTATCTAAGCATCTCAGCTCCCGTCTGATCTTTTGCGGGCCCTCCTTCTGACACCAGTTGGCAGGGACTGCACGGTGTTTTGCCAGACATTCTTGATGTCGTCTTTGCCCTTCGCCGTGGCGAAACAAGCAATTTGCATCTTCGTATATGCAAGAAATACATCATGACTCCGGATCTTTGAGTTACACAGCTGTTTCCCCCCCTTCTGGCCACGCATTTCGATGTTTCTCATCTCACAACATTTGCAAAGCATTCGTACGGATGCGGATTGCGGTTCCTGCATCCTCCCGGACCTTCAATACGTCGGAATCTTTATGATGGCCCGTTGCGATGTTGTCCGCTAAGCTCTGTTCCTGGGAACTAGACTAGTCGGCGCTGGACTCTCCATACCCACGAGTGTGTGTCTCGTCTGCGAACTGCGACATGCAGCACCCATTGGGATGGTGGCGTTTTTGCCGTCCCAAAGCTTCCTCAATGATTCCACATCACTAGGGGGGTGTCGACGACAGGGGGTCAGACCCTCTTCCGAAGGGGCAGGCAATCAAGCAAGCACTCAGGCTCTTGCATGGCAGCCGCAGGCTCGCAGAAGGCGACGAGGCTCTGAGTGGACCAAACAGATCCAACCAGTGACCATCAGCGGCAGGGCTGTCATCATTAACAGAACCTTGGCCCTGTCACTGGAAATGAAGGCAACGAACACAACTTGGATGGCGTTCGGGCGGCCGACGGGAAAGTGTCACCGGCGACAGGACGCATCCACTGCCTCCCTGTCAGTCTGTCAACTTTGTTGTTGTTGCATGTCACACCAACACTTCGCCAGTCTTCCCAGCCTCACCTCTATCGCTGCCAAATCGCCCACGAATATTGGGAGGCCTGGGTCTCTGGCATGGCACTTGGCGTTTTTCCTGCTGACAAGGGAAACTAGCATTCGTCGGCTGGGGTCGCATACTCCGCATGTCAACAATCCTCACCCTGCCGCTGATCCCGAGCCGAAGGAGGAAACAGTCCCCGGTCCGCCTGAGAGAACGGCCGCCTACCAAGGTCATCTTGAGCACTATCAAACTTATCGTCAATATCAGACAACGCACAAGGCGGATGCGAATGAAGATCAACGGGCGAGGCGGGAGGTTAGCTGCTTGGCCTCCAACGTCCGCAGCTGAGGAATGCCGATCGGCCCATGCTCCGTGAAGCAAACAGCTGCCGTCTGAACCTCCTCCAGGCCAACTTTCAGCTAGGAATGGCCAGTATCGGAGTTCGGCAGCCAAAGACTGTGGGGTTCAAAGTTCGGCCATCGAGTTGCCAGCAGGTGACAGGTCAATTTGGCCTAGAGGAAGTCTCACAGTGGCGCCACGGGGGAAACACAGCGGCACAGCACCTCAAGCCCGTCCCTCTGGGTAAAAGAACCAAACACCCGGGTTGACTTCTGTGACACTGACACCAAAACCAACAAAAGTCGAGACCGCAAGCCGGTCGACGGTGATTACTATTCAGAGTTCCTCTCATGCCCCAGCTTGTTGCGTTTCGTGCAAAGCAAAGAAACGCCAGGTCGGAAAATCGGACTTTTCTCCCTGCAGGTTCCTGGCCAGAATGCCATCTAATGATACTGGAGCCTCGCCGAGCAGGTCGGCGAATCTACGTACCCTGATTCAGCTGAGATTGCTAGCAGGCCAGCCGAGAGGCACGGCGTTGACGCCGACTTGGTCTACCAATCAGCACTCAAAGCTGGGCTCACTCACAGACTGGAGGCATAAGCAGACTGCAGCAGCCAGCGAAACATACCCTGTCTCGACCCCTGACCCCTGGCTCAGCCCAACGGATTGGAACCAACCACACGTCCATCACCCGCCTTTGCATCTCGACGATCTACGGTCCCGCCCTCTTACGGCCGGCCGGATATACAGACTTCCTTTCTGTCTACAACCACGAGAACCGCAGATATTGCGTCGTCGTCATCTCACAGCGAACCCCAGCTATAGGCTGCCCCCCAACGTCTGTCCGCACCTGGTTCAGTGGAACCTGACCGGTACGGATCCCCCTAGCTCTTTGCAACCCGCACTTCATGATCGGCGTGGTCGGTAAGAGGCCTGCCTTGAACAGACCTACAGACAACCTCGGATGACATCTCGCTCTGAAGAGGTGCAGAGATACGCTCAGTCGATGAATTTACGTTGAGACTATACAACAAAATTAATGCCAAACGGCGATTGGCAGGAATACGGGAGCGGCTGCAGGCTTTCAAGCAATGGGACCCTAAGCCATGGCTCAGTTCTGACACATCTGTGATTCTGTTGTGCATATGGCTATCCCTTCGATCGGTTCCGCTCCCAAGCACCTCGCTCCCGTCGGGCATCCTGTCATTTGGAGCCTCCCCCGGCTGCGTTATGTGGGAAATATTGACCATTTGAATCCTTCAAATGCTGAGAACCCCTGTCGACCCGACCCAAAGCCTCGGGTTCTGGGCCGCCACACTTTCTTCCCTGACACAAACATGCGTCCATGACTGGGGTGGGGGTGAAGGGGGGTGTGGTCTTCAGTTACCATGATTCACGACCGACAGAACTTGGGTATGCAGACTCTTGCCCTTCCCCCCCCCTCCTAGGCCAGCGAGCCTGGTCTACCTTTACCTCGACGAGGGGACAGCTCGGCCGGGGCTGGGTATTTGTCAAAGAAGTCTAATGATGTCTCGGCTCGAATTGGACCTTGCGGGATGCAGGTTGGCAGGCATATCCTTTGTGTTCGTTTGCCCAGGATGGCGCTGCCAGCCCGCCGCGCCGCTGCGGCCGATATAATAACCTCTCACGCTTGCCACCCCTCCGTCATCGTGTCCCGCATTGGCCAAATTACCCATCCACCCACCGCACTTGCGGCCCTTTCCTCCCACATTACCGACGACGAGTTCGCAATCATCGATAGATAGAATCTTGCGCCCGCGTTCCAACAAGCCATGCTATCCATCCCGACATCGACGACGACGCCCATTGCGAGGACACAAACGGACGGCTCACGCGAGCCAACGACACTATCGCGGCGACCATTAGACCACTTTGTACGTTTAAATTGCCGTAGCTTCGTCGATCTCCCGAGAATGCCTATATCGTTAACATCGAGTCTTCCCATCGCAATAGCACCTTTTCCCACGCCTGCCCGCAGAACTTCGCCTCAAGATATGGAACTTCAACCTACCTCCGCCGCGCATCGTCCCCATACGGTGCGGCGCAAAATCTCTGTCCTTCGCTGCAGACGTCCACCCAGCCGCTCAGCGGCGACCATCGACTAGCGGCTGCATCTCCTACGCATCCATTCCCGTCAACCTCCACGTCTGCCATGAGTCTCGCGCCGAGGCCATGAAGTCCTACCGGCTCAGTTTTGGCATGACTCGCAAACCTGGCCAAATCTTCTTCGACCGGAGCCGCGATATCCTGTACTTTGGCGCTCGCGACGGCTACATGGCGTCGGAATCGCAGTTCATGACCGTCATGGCGCTGTGCGACCCCACGGACCTCGCCGAGGTGCGCCACCTGGCCGTCAACGATTCGCTGTTCTGGATCGACTCCGTGTACTACCAGAGCATGTCGGCCGCGAACCTGACGGTGGAGGTGCTGAAGCAGGTGCGCGCGCGTATGCCACGGTTGGAGAGTCTCGTTTTCATACCGAGGGACGAGAACCCGGTGTACTACGACCAGGTCGAACTCGTCGAGGCGAATCGGCAGTCGGAGCTGGTGCAGATCATGAGTCTGCAGATGGAGGCCGGCATGAAGGCCGTCTCGGAGATGTTCCCCGACTGGCGGCCGCCTTCGTGGCGTATCATGGCTCTGGGATGCGGGCTGCCTGCGGCAGTGGACTGGTGTCGAGGAGGGTATATTGGGACGTTACCTGTTGAGATGGAGATCGACGCGAGAAGCTGAAGATCCGACAATGCGTGTGTGCTCGTGCGAGGATATTTGTTTTTTGACCTGTTGCATCAAGGGCGGTCAGACTGATTTTGGAGATACCCTGCACATCTGTTTAGGCGTTACGGTTCTTGGCGTCGCGGAGCATGTAAAGTATTATTGAGCATCTACGAGCTGTGTGTTTGGACAAGTCAGCGTACGTCATAGAATGGTGTGCGCCTCTACGGTTTATCGTTTCGTGCTCCTTGCTACCAATGTGATGAAGTCGTATGTTCGAGCCCATTTTGAGATATCCAATGTGCCGGGATGTCGATGGCTCCTCGACCAAGATTTGATACATTTTCCCCGAAAGAATCAACGGTGGTAATATGTCACGTAACTA